GCCTCCTCCACAACCACTCGTGAAATCCAAGCCCCTTTATGCCCATGTCTGTCTTTCGCTCTGCATCTGGTCATCTCTGTATTTCCCATTCTCTGTCTCCCGCTTCACTGTCAGCTGACGGAATATCAGGCGGCCAGATGATGCGGGAGCTGCATCCTGGACGAGCCTGGAGAGAGGGACTGGGGGCTGATCTAGATATGGGACATGGAGTGGGTGTTTGGGGACAGGAGAGACTCAGACTCAATCTCCCTTCTCATTCTGTCTCCTCCTTAACACTCAGCAGGGAAATGCCCGGAGTAGAGTCACCAGGCCCCTTTCTATGATTCTGAAGAAGTCTGAGGGCCCCTGACCCTAAACGATTACTCCTATGGCCAATAGCAAGGCATAATCCCCAGGCCGGCCGTGTGGCCCTTTTCTGAGAAATTTTCTTTCCCTACGCCTTTCTGCAATCAGGAGGTAAAGCACAAAACACTTCTTCACGTTGCACATCAGATCTGCTGTAATTATGGGAGCTTGGAGTTTGGGAAGAGTCACGTAGGGAGCATTTGAGACCCTTCTCTGGAATCGAGTGGGTGTAAGACACACCCACTTGTTCTCCGTTCACGAGTTTCAACATGAACACTCAGGATCTCCAGGGTTCACTAAATAAAAATCTCATCACAATCAGCGAGTTCAAGGTCTCGCATCAAATTCGCCAGGGCATGGGACAGAGACGAAGAGCCACACCACAGGGTGGGAGGGAGGGGGCTTCAGCGCTGAGCTTGAGCCCAACCTGTGTTCGCCCAGCGGGCGAGCTTGGGGCCGGCACGCCCCCTGGCGGGCGGAGGGCGCAGAGCGGGGCGGGGTGGGGCTGCGCAGTGTGGACCAGGGGGCCGTCGCCCGCCCTGGGGACAGAAAAGTCGCCAGTGCTGAGTCCAGGTAAGAAAAGTTAAGACCATTAGCAACCAAGACCAGGTCTCCAGAGCGTGATATTTGCAGACCCCGTAGTAAGGACGTGAATACATCATCTTTTACTTTCCAAAACCCTGGGGGTCAATGCAGTGATTCCTTCTCTCTTACAGAGGAGAACACTGAGGAGTCGCATCCCAGCTGAGTACTCACACTCGACTGCTATCCTCACGCCCTTCCCAAACTGGACTGGGATACAGATCTATCACAATCAATCTATATTTGTGTAAAGAAGTAGAAGTTTTATTTTTTCAGTGCGGAAATAGAAAATTACAGTTGGATGTAGGTGGATGCTGTGTACAGGAAGGTGCCCTGGAGAAGGAGACATTGATACAGAGCCCATCAGAAGCATGCTTGGTGTGACCCGGGGGAGAGAATTTCAGGCAAGTGGAAGAGCAGGTGAAAGATCAGAGGCAGAGAGCAGATGATCACGCAGTGGGACAGAGAGGCACCGAGACTGGGGTGAGGTGTGGAGAGTCAAGAGATGCGGGGAGTCAGGGCGTTCACTCCCTCAGGGCTGAGGACCTGGAAGGATAGTAACAGTACCTCTGAGTCCTTGTTGGTGCCTGACCCTGTCCTCAGCACATTATATACATCCATCCATTTCATCCTGTCTAAAATCTCATGATCCTGAGACTACTAATATCCCCTCTTGACAACTAGGGAAACTGAGGCACTCAGACTAAAAGAAGTGACACAGTTTCATCCAGATCACCCTGTTTGTCCCTGGCAGAGCTGGGGTTTGAAACCAGGATGTGTGTGGGGCCAGAGTCAGATCTTGACTACCGCACTCTTCTGTTATCAGTGCCTATCACCATGACAACAGTGGGGCTGGTCCCCGACATGGACATCTAAGTCGTACCAAGACTTATAACTCCTCTGTTTCCCCTGAATCCTACACAGACATTCTAAGAGCTTTTCTCCCTTTCTGAATCGAAGCCCAGAGAATTTCTAGCACCCAGTCCCTTTTAACAAACACCCCCTGAGTACAGAACCACCAGTCATCTCATTCAGCAGCTAAAATGTCATGATTTTCTTCTAAAAAGTTATGGAAGAGCAATCTTTCCTCTAGCTACCTAGAACTACAAATCCTAGGTCAATGAGAATCAGTCTTTCCATGACCAATTTGTGTAGCTACCCCTAATCTCACCATTATCAAATAGAAAGTAGCTCAAAAAATCATATACTATTTGTTTAAAAAAAAGTAAAACTATATTTAGTGCTTAGTCATGAAAAACTAAGCATTCACAAGACCTCAAGTAGAATCAATAAAGTAGTGAATGAATGAAGAGTAACTTCCTAGTTTAAGAATGAAGTTTGGAGGCAGAGGATCACATTTCACCCAGTGAAGAGTCTACTCATGACCTGAGCTTGAATTTCTGGCCTGGTGAACCTGAGGCTGTGAAAGACTCTTTGTGCAATGTTTCTGGCAATGTGGATTGACAAGCAACTTTATCACCCAAACAGTGACCACATATAAGGGGAGCCAATAGTGGACACTCTTGACTGATGAGAAGCACCTCTCTCCTTGCATGCCTTCTGACCTCCACAGTCTCTTGACCTGACATGAAATCTCATCTGCTTCCAAGCACATGGATGGGGAGACATGGTCAGAACTGTGGACAGAGCCCGCTGTCATCCTGGTGCAGGTGACATCTCATTGTGTGGGGATGAAGGCAACTGAGAAGTCTCCCACTCTAAGGTGCAGAACCCCTGGGGAAATGTCTAAAGAACATGTTCTGGGATGTCAGAGTAGGATCTGAGTAAGAAGCATGAATAAGCTCTGACTGAACTGAAATCAGGGAGGTCTGCTGGGACCCCGAGGTCTAGAACCCAGCATAAAACTCATGTAGTGTGTTTGCTGGTGCCGCAGAATTAACTTCCCCTATATTCACCAGCATGAAACAACCACTTTATGATTTCTGGTCCACAGGTCACGTCTTCCTCAGAATGGAACCAGAGTCCTCACCCTGGCCCGCAAGGCTCTGTGCCTTCTGGCCCCTCTGACCCTCTCCTCCTCATTAGAGATCATTCTCCCTGCCCCCTCCAGCCACCCTGACCTCTGTCCTTCAGCCATGACCCACCCACTCAGCCTCAGAGCCTTTACCCCCACTGTAGCCCCAGCTTACTACACTCTTTCCTTGCTCTGCCATCCTGGAGCCGCCTCAGTCACTCTGTTCCTTTTTATTGTCGCTTCTGTCACCATCTGAATTCATCTGGTTGGCTTTGCTTGTTTCTCCCTGCTAGTCTTTAAATCCCATTGGGCTACATTCCCACTGTTCATGCCTGTGTCCCCATGCCAGCATCTGGCACACGGCGGGACACATAGTAGTTGCCTAATGGCAATAGTCCATGCGTTCTGGGGCTCTGACTACATGCCAGGCAGTGTCCTATAGGCTTTGCTGCCCCTACCTCCTCCAAGCCCTGAGGAAAGACAGTCTCCCTATTGGACCACTCCAGGTGGTGGGGCTGGAAGGCTTCCCTCAATGGCCGCTGCTGAAGGGAGGGAGTAAGCAAGGACCAATGGGAGTCTGTGGCACCTCCCACCATGCCCTCCTCCGTGATTACAAGGCTCCAGACTCCAGCACCCAGTTTCTCTGAAAAAGACTGTTCCCAACATCCCCAGACACCCATTTGGAGGCGGTCCTCTCCCCCAGCCCAATATATACCCTCTAGGGAGATATTTAGAGAAATCCTCCAACTCGCTGCAGGAGCTAAAGGACGAACAGCGGCTGCGGAAACCGTCCACTAGAGGAAGGAGTGGGTGAGCCTCCTGCACTCGCCAGTCCCGGCCAGGCGCCTGCCAGCCCCGCGTGCTCCAGCCCGCTTTCTCCAGGAGCTGCGGTTCCGGGAGCGGTTGGCCACCTCCCCGAGCCTGTCACGGCAGCGGGGAGCCGACTCTCGTGAAGCCAGGAGATGGACGGACCGTTCCCGCTTCCTCTGCTGCCCAGTCAGTTCTGCTGAGGTATGGGAAACTTGAAGACAGAGTGAAAAGAAAAAATAGAGAAAGAGAGAGCACCTTCCGAGGAGATCCCCTGGCTCCGAAGACCCCTACAATTACCCCGACTCCCCAGGGAGCTCCTTCCCGGTATAAAGAGTGGAAGCCAGAAGACGAAGTGCTGGAAGGCGAAAACAGCTAAACTGCAAGCGAATCAGGGATGAATTTGCCATCCAGTCTGCAGCTGAGTCAGATCCCGTTGTTCCGGAGGGACTTTTCTCTTCTCGATCATAGCGCTATGGTGAGGTCAGATTTTAACACTGGGGAAGCGGGCCGGGGGAGCATAGAGCCATAAGCACCTTCTTGGACCTCTTTGAGCACCTTTCCTGAAAATGTCAAATGAGTTCCTGATAAGGGCTTCCCGCGATCTTATGTTTGGAAAAGCGTCTCTCAGGATGGAGAGAGGCTTCTTCCAAATGCCAGTCCGAAGCCTTGGCCGAGCAAGAGACATCTTCAGGACACCCAGGAAAGACAACAGGGAGGGAAAAAAGAATCACACTCAGTCACACAGCTACAAGGTCAGCAGGAGGAATGGGACGTGCAGGGAGGCCCAAGCAGATGCAGGCAAGCCCCAACCCTCCACGCGCACAGGCAGCTCCACGGGCTCCGGCTGTGGCTCCAAGTGCTGAAGACCCTGATTTAGTAAAGCTGCCCAGAAGCTCACAGGCAGTCCTATCCCAGAGTCACAGAGCAGACCCCTTCCATGATAGTTCCAGGCAAACCCTCAAAGATGACCTGAGGAAGGGAAATCAGTGCTAGTCTCTTGATCCTGCTTGATCAGCCTGGCCCTGTCCAGCCACACTCCACCTTTCAAGCCAGAACCGTCTGTCTTTCCTTCTTTAATTCCTTCTCCATTCATTCATTCTTTCAGTCATTCATTCATTTGCAGATCCCAATGACACAGGCAGGGCACAGAATGCACCTGCACAGGCACGTGGCCACCGCCAGAGGGCGAAACGCCGCTTTCAGAACGCGGTGGATCCGTGGCTCAGCAACTGCGTGGGTCTCAGTGAGGCTCCGGCAACGGTTGCGGCGCATGCGCAGTGGGAGGGCCGGCTGCCCTCCCAGGGTCCTGGGCTCTGGGAGGGGAGGAAGAGGCCAGGATGGGAGAGGCAAAAGCAGGTGAGGAGGGCGCGCCCACTTTCCTCTCCTCAGGTCCCTGAGAACCCAGATCTCTGGGTCGCTGCTGCGGCTGCCGCTGCCATTTCTCCCGCTACCGCCACTGCGGCCTCCGCCCCTGCTGATTGCCTAGCTGCCGCCACCACCACCACAGTGTGGGCCGGCCCTGGCGGAGAGACGTGGGCTCGCCAGTCACCACTGAGGCCTCAAACCCAGCCCCTCGTGGGTTGGCAATGGATCAGACGGGGTGGCGGGGCAGGATAAAATCCGGCGAGGTGGAGGTGCTGTGTCCCGCTCTAAATGACGGTCGTGGCAAGCAAACGTCAATCCATTGATCCTGAGGCTGATTCCTCCGCTAGATGTGGGCAGAGGAGGCCCATTCCCTGGCCACAGAGCACAGGGGCCCCTGTCTCTCCCGGTGCCTTTCAGGAATCTGTTGAATGCCACTCTGGCTGACGGCGCCCCTCTACCAGCCACCCCCAAGACCATCGTCCTCCCTCAGGTACCTGGGCATGGCCAGTGAGGACCCTGGTTTGGAGGGTGCTGCTCCCTGTTGGGCACAGCAGTTGCCCGCGAGCGTCTCCCTTCTGCAGAGGCAAGGACGCTTCCCAGAAATCTCTCAGTCCTCACGGCTCTTTCCTCCAGAGTTGTCCTGCTGAGAGTCTTGGCCCAGGTGGCAGCCACGGCCAGCCTCCTTTGGACAGAGCAGCAAGCCATGTGGTGCTCGTCTCTGTGTGCCTCGCATCCGTGCACTCAGGGAGAGGGCCAGGGGAGGGCCTTTCTTAGTGCCTAGTTGCCGATTTCTCACAAACGAGTGCCCTCCGCAGCAGGGAAACATGGGTGTCCTGACTCGAGAGAAGAGGGTGGGACTTGCTGATGGAAGAGCCTGCCCGGTGCGTTCTTGTGGCCTGTGGGGCCTGCCTTGTGTGGCAAACTCCTTTGGCGGGTCATTCTCAACCTTCTGGCTTGACAAGGGTTTTCCTCGCCCTGGAGTTTGAAGGTCCAAGTTGTGTTGTGAGACCGTGCTTTTCTTTGGCAGGACAAATGAGGCCTTGGGGCAACCAGGTGGCAGAGGGATCACCTTGATCTCCTCCCCAGTCCGGTTTTGGCAGACAGGGCCCTACCTCGATTTCCAAAGAAGGATGCAAGGACCCGAGCAGAAGGATTTCAGAGGAGCTTAGACACAGCTGAAGGGAGTGGGAACCCTGTGCCGTACGACACGTGCGCCCTCGAGGAGGAGGAGAGAATCATGGAGCAAGCACAGAGAGCAGAAACGTCAAGATGGGCATGTGTGGATTTGGGGTCCAGGAAGGAAAGATGGAGAGAGAGCCTGAGTGTTTCTGAGGCAGTATTTCGAGATTCCAAGACTGACAGGGACCCCAAGCCATCCTTTGGGCCACAAGAACCACCCCCGCAGGCGTCACCACCAAGAATATCCCATCTGAGATTGGAAGAGGAAATGTGCTGATCGCTACCTCAAGGTCTGAGACATGTACAGAGAGGGTGAGTTGAAAGAAAAATGCAGAGAGAGCCCCTTTGAAGGAATGCTCCCCAACACGAAGACCTTCCACCGACACGCACCCCCCCTCCCCCAACCCAGGGACCTCCTTCCCAGTCGAAAGACTGGAAGAAGGGACGTGAAGTGTTGGAAGGACAAAACAAAGAGCTGAACTGCAAGTGAGTCAATCGTGAATTTGCCATCCAGTACGCGGATGAGTCTGTCCACTTGTCCCAAAATGATATTCCTCTTCCTGATCATGGCACCATGGTGAGCTGAAGTTTGAGCACTGGGGAAGGGGGCTGGGGGAGCATGGCGCCACAGCACCTTCTTGGACCTCTTTGGGCCCCTTCCCTGCGAGTGTCAAAAGAGTTCCCGATAAGGTCTTCCGGCGTTCTTGGGTTTGGAAAGGTGTCTCTTGGGATGGAGGGGGCGGCTCTTCCAACTGCTGGTCCGAAGCCTTGGCCAGGTCAGGCGCACCTGCAGGACCCCCAGGAAAGACAACAAGGTGGGGAAAAGAAGAATCATACTCGGCCGCACGGCTGAACACAGCCACTTGGCCACACATCCACAAGGTGAGCGGGAGGAATGGGGAGTGCAGGGAGGCCCGAGCCATGCAGGCCAGCCCCATCCCTCTACTCGCAGGGGCAGATCCGGAGGCCTGGGCTGGGCCTCCAGGCGCTGAAGCCCCTGATTCAGCAAAAGTGCCTGGAACCACACAGGCAGTCCTGTCTCGGGCTCACAGGGCAGACTGTATCCTCCACTGTCCCAGGCGAGCCTTCAAAGATGACCTGAGGAAGGGATGTCAGTGCTAGGCTCCTGGTCCACTTGGTCAGCCTGGCCCTATCCGGCCAGCTCCATCTTCCAAGCCAGAACCATCCATCCTTGCTTCTTGCCTTACTTCCTTCTCCATTCATCCTGTCAATGCTTCATCTGCAGGTCCCACTGATGGACGCAGACCACAGCATGCGCCTGCACAAGCACCTGGCCAGCGGCAGAGGGCGTGCCGACTCTCTCCGAGCCAGATGGACCCGTCGCTTAGCAACCGCGTGGCTCGTTGTGAGGCCAGAGGCGCTCGTTGCGGCACACGCGCGGTGGGGTTGGAGGGCTGGCTTCCACTCCAGGGCGCTGGGCTCTCGGAGGGGTGAGGGAGAGGCCAGGATGACCAATGGGAGCGGTGAGAGGAGGTGGGGAGGTGAGGGCGTGCCCACTTTCCTCTGCTCAGGTCCCTGAGAACCCAGATCTCTGGGTCGCTGCTGCGGCTGCCGCTGCCATTTCTCCCGCTACCGCCACTGCGGCCTGCGCCCCTGCTGATTGCCTAGCTGCCGCCACCACCACCACAGTGTGGGCCGGCCCTGGCGGAGAGACGTGGGCTCGCCAGTCACCACTGAGGCCTCAAATCCAGACCCTCGTGGGTTGGCAATGGATCAGACGGGGTGGCGGGGCAGGATGAAATCCGGCGAGGTGGAGGTGCGGTGTCCCGCTCTAAATGACGGTCGTGGCAAGCAACCGTCAATCCATTGATCCTGAGGCTGATTCCTCCGCTAGATGTGGGCAGAGGAGGCCCATTCCCTGGCCACAGAGCACAGGGGCCCCTGTCTCTCCCGGTGCCTTTCAGGAATCTGTTGAATGCCACTCTGGCTGACGGCGCCCCTCTACCAGCCACCCCCAAGACCATCGTCCTCCCTCAGGTACCTGGGCATGGCCAGTGAGGACCCTGGTTTGGAGGGTGCTGCTCCCTGCTGGGCACAGCAGTTGGCCGCGAGCGTCTCCCTTCTGCAGAGGCAAGGACGCTTCCCAGAAATCTCTCAGTCCTCACGGCTCTTTCCTCCAGAGTTGTCCTGCTGAGAGTCTTGGCCCAGGTGGCAGCCACGGCCAGCCTCCTTTGGACAGAGCAGCAAGCCATGTGGTGCTCGTCTCTGTGTGCCTCGCATCCGTGCACTCAGGGAGAGGGCCAGGGGAGGGCCTTTCTTAGTGCCTAGTTGCCGATTTCTCACAAACGAGTGCCCTCCGCAGCAGGGAAACATGGGTGTCCTGACTCGAGAGAAGAGGGTGGGACTTGCTGATGGAAGAGCCTGCCCGGTGCGTTCTTGTGGCCTGTGGGGCCTGCCTTGTGTGGCAAACTCCTTTGGCGGGTCATTCTCAACCTTCTGGCTTGACAAGGGTTTTCCTCGCCCTGGAGTTTGAAGGTCCAAGTTGTGTTGTGAGACCGTGCTTTTCTTTGGCAGGACAAATGAGGCCTTGGGGCAACCAGGTGGCAGAGGGATCACCTTGATCTCCTCCCCAGTCCGGTTTTGGCAGACAGGGCCCAACCTCGATTTCCAAAGAAGGATGCAAGGACCCGAGCAGAAGGATTTCAGAGGAGCTTAGACACAGCTGAAGGGAGTGGGAACCCTGTGCCGTACGACACGTGCGCCCTCGAGGAGGAGGAGAGAATCATGGAGCAAGCACAGAGAGCAGAAACGTCAAGATGGGCATGTGTGGATTTGGGGTCCAGGAAGGAAAGATGGAGAGAGAGCCTGAGTGTTTCTGAGGCAGTATTTCGAGATTCCAAGACTGACAGGGACCCCAAGCCATCCTTTGGGCCACAAGAACCACCCCCGCAGGCGTCACCACCAAGAATATCCCATCTGAGATTGGAAGAGGAAATGTGCTGATCGCTACCTCAAGGTCTGAGACATGTACAGAGAGGGTGAGTTGAAAGAAAAATGCAGAGAGAGCCCCTTCGAAGGAATGCTCCCCAACACGAAGACCTTCCACCGACACGCACCCCCCCTCCCCCAACCCAGGGACCTCCTTCCCAGTCGAAAGACTGGAAGAAGGGACGTGAAGTGTTGGAAGGACAAAACAAAGAGCTGAACTGCAAGTGAGTCAATCGTGAATTTGCCATCCAGTACGCGGATGAGTCTGTCCACTTGTCCCAAAATGATATTCCTCTTCCTGATCATGGCACCATGGTGAGCTGAAGTTTGAGCACTGGGGAAGGGGGCTGGGGGAGCATGGCGCCACAGCACCTTCTTGGACCTCTTTGGGCCCCTTCCCTGCGAGTGTCAAAAGAGTTCCCGATAAGGTCTTCCGGCGTTCTTGGGTTTGGAAAGGTGTCTCTTGGGATGGAGGGGGCGGCTCTTCCAACTGCTGGTCCGAAGCCTTGGCCAGGTCAGGCGCACCTGCAGGACACCCAGGAAAGACAACAAGGTGGGGAAAAGAAGAATCATACTCGGCCGCACGGCTGAACACAGCCACTTGGCCACACATCCACAAGGTGAGCGGGAGGAATGGGGAGTGCAGGGAGGCCCGAGCCATGCAGGCCAGCCCCATCCCTCTACTCGCAGGGGCAGATCCGGAGGCCTGGGCTGTGCCTCCAGGCGCTGAAGCCCCTGATTCAGCAAAAGTGCCTGGAACCACACAGGCAGTCCTGTCTCGGGCTCACAGGGCAGACTGTATCCTCCACTGTCCCAGGCGAGCCTTCAAAGATGACCTGAGGAAGGGATGTCAGTGCTAGGCTCCTGGTCCACTTGGTCAGCCTGGCCCTATCCGGCCAGCTCCATCTTCCAAGCCAGAACCATCCATCCTTGCTTCTTGCCTTACTTCCTTCTCCATTCATCCTGTCAATGCTTCATCTGCAGGTCCCACTGATGGACGCAGACCACAGCATGCGCCTGCACAAGCACCTGGCCAGCGGCAGAGGGCGTGCCGACTCTCTCCGAGCCAGATGGACCCGTCGCTTAGCAACCGCGTGGCTCGTTGTGAGGCCAGAGGCGCTCGTTGTCGCACACGCGCGGTGGGGTTGGAGGGCTGGCTTCCACTCCAGGGCGCTGGGCTCTCGGAGGGGTGAGGGAGAGGCCAGGATGACCAATGGGAGCGGTGAGAGGAGGTGGGGAGGTGAGGGCGTGCTCACTTTCCTCTGCTCAGGTCCCTGAGAACCCAGATCTCTGGGTCGCTGCTGCGGCTGCCGCTGCCATTTCTCCCGCTACCGCCACTGCGGCCTGCGCCCCTGCTGATTGCCTAGCTGCCGCCACCACCACCACAGTGTGGGCCGGCCCTGGCGGAGAGACGTGGGCTCGCCAGTCACCACTGAGGCCTCAAATCCAGACCCTCGTGGGTTGGCAATGGATCAGACGGGGTGGCGGGGCAGGATGAAATCCGGCGAGGTGGAGGTGCGGTGTCCCGCTCT